TGACTTCCACAGTCAATTTGAGTTCCGCAGAGGTCAGTGGTTCGAGTCCCGTACAGGCCTGATTTTTTTCAGGTCTGATCTTCGCTATTGCATAAATAGCGCTATCTACTGCGAGGATCGTGCATCATAAGTTCTTACTAGCGTTGTTATACAACCTGTAGTTCTTTTTAATGATGTAAAAATTGTGCTTTACCAGTAGTCACATATATACAATGTTTGACTGACTATTTTTTAACTATTGTCTGCTTTAACCGTACGTTGGTTATTTCTCGAAGGGGTAGGGGAGGGGTGGTCATAAGGCTGTTTTATCGAGAGAAAAACAGCTCGACGCCGTAGATTGACAGGGTAATAGAAGTAGAAATATGCATATACATTTCTAGATAAAGTGTCTCCCAGATCGTGAGAAAACACATCATGGCTTGAGAAGGGTGCGTGCAACTGTTTTCAATCATCATTTTCCTCTCACCTGCAAACAGAAAATGGAACGGAAACCAACATCGCACTCGATGTCTATCCGTTGCAATGGTAGTCGCTCATTGGTTTTCTTCGAACAACGGATTCTGTTAAGATTCAGAGAGTTTTTTTCCAACAGATCCTTTTTCAAAGAGATCAAAATGTGTTGAAACGAGCTGGCTGCCTTTCTGGCCGACGACACACTGACACTTTACATCCAAAAACAACCACGAGGTTCTGACTGGGGTTAAATGACGAGCGACAGAGGGCGAAAAATGTAACTGACTACCGACACTGACGAAAAACATTCCTGATTACAGCTGTAATGACTACTGACAGGGCTTGACATCATGGACATTTTTATTCAGAAAGAAGAGCCTTCTAGCTTAGGAGGTAGCCACTTCAAATTTAAGATTCAGTTATTTATAGAATTTCCTGTAATCAAACTTGCTTTATGGCCGAGTAGGTGCAGGTAGGTACGCAGGTTAATTTACAGAATAGCGTCAGGTACTCGAGCCCGCGAGTTTCGCAAAGAGTATGAATAATTAACTTTAAATGTTAATCATCCACTGGCAACATTTCAACCGACTACCAAAAAAGTAATGAAATTCTAAACGAAAACCGACATGAGGACCCCCCATCCCCATTCAGACTCTCAACCATCGATAGTACGAAGAAACCACAGATGCCATTCTATGCCTTTCTATCCAAAAGAAATTAATTGTGCAGCTTCGTAGGCAACGAGGAAAATTAGTGAAGTCCTGGGTCTAATTTTAGAAATTGAGTAATCTATCTCGTGCCAGACTCGTGGCGAGTGAGGCTCTTCTGCCGGGTCCGCCCCTCCCCAGTCCTCCCCACCTTCCCTTACTTTTTCTATCTCTCGCTCCGATTTGTGCTCGTTCCCATTGACAGTGTGCCTAGAAGAGGCTCTGGTATGGCAAACGTTATTACTGTATCTCAAACTAAATTTCTATGGTGCTATATTTTCGTTTTTTAAAAGATCTAACTGAAAGGAAACAATCATTGCCACGGCTATTTTAATTTTTAAACAAACAGTGTTGTAGTATCTTTTTTTTAATTTCTGTTTTAAATAGCCATCAAATATGTATTAGATAAAGGCCAGGGGCCAAGGTCGACTACAAACCATCTCTAAGAAACACGTTACTACGCAAAATGCTTCCATAATAACGGAAAATTACAAAATCATATAAAAAGCGAGCTAAAGTCAAACGTTTTCTGCGAATATTACTAAAACCCGATGGACTATCTTGGTTAATTGCTTGAAGTACCATCTTTATTCTCTAACCTTTATTGGCTTTAAAAAAGTCTCTACAGGTCAATAAAAAAGGAAAAAAATCAGAAAGAGACACAATGTCACCATAATCTTCAAATAAGTTTACTTCGAGTTACGTGATATAATTAAGTGATATAATTGAGTGCCTGCTCTCTTTAATGTGTGGACAGTACTGGATGATTTTAAACACTGGTAAAGTTGGGAAAAAGTCACGTTAAAAAATTAGACAAAAAGTTATGTTAAGCATCTTTTCCATTAGAACTACCAGATAACTAGTGGTAATTAGCAAGATTCGAAGTTACGAAAGAGTGTGAACTGAATGACAATGGTACAGTTTGTAGAAATATTTGTCTGCATTTTCTCTGAGATTTCGTTTTTTCACTTACATATGATTGAAACTATAGTTAACTATTTTGCCATCCAACTGGTTATTTTGCACAAAAGTCTAACATACTCTAAATAAAAGTCAAGCCGTATGTGAAATTTGAAACTCTAATCAGTGTTTGTTATTAATTATTTATCACAGTGTTGCAACAGTGCTATTATTAACTAACATTCGGTGCATACTAAAGCCAACATAACGAAAAGGTAGTCATTCAAAAATTCGCTCTCTTTAGAAAGGTGCACGTTACCGTGAGTCTCATTTTCGTCTCTCCGTGAAGAATCTATCCGAGTTTTCATCGTTCTAGTTTTTTTTATGCTAGTAAACAAACTTTACAACGCATCTGCAAGAGACATTGGTAAAAAGATTTAGAAAAGAATTGTTTGTGGAAAAAACCCATCTGTGTGTATTTTTTGAACTGAAGAGATTGGTTGTACGTTGGATGATTGGCATCTGTTTGCTGGCCAATAGTGTCTCTCGACTGTCAATAGCTTTGCACGCGTTTCTTCGCTCCTTGCAATTGATGTTTTGGTGGGTACCCTAGAAACTCGAGAGAAACTCGGCTTATGCATATTAAAGCATTATTTTAAATAATTTTTGTTGTAGAAGTGGAAGTGAACTGAACTACCAGATTAGGAATCAGGCTGGAATTCGAATTTAAGCGCAGATCCCAAACAGCGAGGAAAAGCTAATTCTTAGAGAAATCATCAAAAAATCTTGGAAAGCTGCCTGGAAGAAAGGTATGGAATATGTTTGTGTTTGGAAGATTAACGATATAATACAGATATTTCGCCTCAGTGAAAATATCATCGGTGCGGATGAGGTATACACTTGATGTAACTTGTGCCCCGGCAGGCATAGAAACAAGCTTGCGGGCCAGTCGGTATTCGTTGTAATAAGATCTGTACTTGTCAGTCTATTTGAGGTATTTATATTATATATTCTGCAGAATTTATAGTAATGATAACAAAGCATAGAGAATGTACCACATGTTTGACACATCAGTCAAAGTCAAATGGAAGCGACTTTCGAATTCTTTTCAAATTGTATAATCGTATTAAGAGTAATCGAAACTGAATCGGTGCCATCAATAAATGTACGATTCATTTGAATTCTGTTTCCCGCAGTTGTTTCTATCTTTTTATCAAACCGACGTTCGTCGTCTGAGTCAGACTAACCGAGAAGTAAAGCTGATGTAAAAGACAGGTATTATTCTCAGTTCGAGATGTGTGACTTCCACAGTCAATTTGAGTTCCCTTACTCAGAGCTTCTAGTTATCCACCGCTACACCATACAAATTGATCCCACAAAAAAAATGTCAAATAGTTTTAACATTATTATTGTACACACATTGGTAAAGAAATAAATTTCGTTTCAGCGAGAGATTGGGAATAATTATAGCTAGCGTTTGGGTTAGTTTTGTGCTGGAAGCAGAGTTGAATTTCACCGGTATCGCAAACGTGATTACAAAGTAGGATCGATTTTTCGTTGCTATTAACTAAAGATGATGATAAAGGAGTTTCCATGGTCTTGTTACCACGAATACTGTATAATGATGTTGTTTGACGCACTGAGCAAAAAGATTGTTTAAAAAACCGAGCGGAAACCAGCTTGATTCTGATGAAAACGACCAGCTACACAGAGATTTTAATATGAAGTCTTCACAGCGGGTAATACAGACTTCTCAGAGGGCATAATTCCAATTCTAAGCTGAAAAAAAATGTAAAAAATTATAAAACAAACAACCAAATAGGAAAAGGAAAATACGAAGTCGTAGAACTTTTCTCATCATGAAAAGGGAGTTCAGCTTTAGGAAAAAATTTGCCAATTACATTTTGTGATTTTCAATCTACCGTATTTTGCATACAAAGTATTTCCTGGAGGATTTTGTTTAAATGCATTGGAATAAAAAACCTTTTAGATTCGGTAGAAATAAATTAGTATTTTGGTTTTGTTTTAAGATTTCTAAAGGGTATGCATATATTTACTTTACTGATGAAAAGAATTTTCGCGCCAGGATTCACTTGTTGACATTTTGAAAGCAATTTTTGTAATATTAAGTAATTTCTAAACAGAAACAGAATGTTAATTGACTTCATCCTCATCCATGAAAATGCAGCAAAAAAAACAAAAAAGAAAAAACCGACAAAAAAAGAAAAAGGGAACACTGAAAATATACCTAATCGTGATAAAAAGGATGAAAAGCAATCGATATTCAAAATTTTAAAAACACGTAAAAAATGCTCATATAGCAAACTCAAATACAGTACAACTACCAAATTGCTCTGCGATAAAATACGTTGCTTTTCCAAGTGTTTTCAATTAAATCTCAAACCGAAAACGGAAACCGACACGTGTTCCGTCTAGTGAGCTATCACTTCCTCGGAATTTCAATATATGATCAGTAGATGTTGATGAGATATTTGCAATTGAACCTCGACTGTTTCCAAGAAACGATACATTCACTTCTCGGGAAGTTATTACACGCTTTACATCTCTCAATACTGAGGATATACATGTAGCCATGGTGACCAACATTTCAAAGAAGTTATCACTGATAACCTCAGCTTCTCTCTCCAGAATTTGGGAAAACTTACGAAATTTCCTTCTGAAAGATAAGTCGTTGGATGCAAAAACTTGTTGTTATTTGAACTGACTTCATTTTTGAAAAATACCTGGTGTTATATCATAGCAATGCACATACGTTTTGCAATTTCAAAAAGCTGTATTTCAGTTTCAGTGATGTATTGCTAAATTCATATCGCATGGGTCCGAATTCTTCACGACCAACAGCTTGGTAAAAATCTCAGAGGAATATTATTAACACCCCCTGTAGCTCGTGTACCTGCAGGCTTGGTGAGTACTTTAAGTTCGATCAGAGATGCTCTGATGCGTCTTTAAAAGTTCATTTTCGTCGCAGATTTTGGCCCAGTAATATCCTTGATAAACAAAAAAGATATATTTGAAAAATTCTGTGATTTTAACCGGGATATTGAAAATAATTATCTTGTCAGAGTGTAATATATTGGATGTTTAAGCAATCCTTAAACAATGAATAGCGACCAGAATAGTGGCGACACCTGTGATTTTTTCCACGCTATGGAAGTTCAACGGCTTCAGAGATCGAAATTAATCGACAAACTTCTTAATAAAATTGTAACTGCCATTTTAAGCCAAGTTACTTCCGATATAATTATCCTGCAAGAATTTAAGAGAAATTATTTTGCCAATGTGGCTTTAATTTTATGTCAATTTGGTTCGCAACCTGGTAAATGTTATCGGCAACCATCGTGTTAGCGCGCGCAAACTTCAGAGGTTAGAATATGTCTGAGCGATTCATTGTTTCGTCAACTCGCTTACGCATGATAACTGCCAAGAGAAGTTCGTGTCAATATTCTTTTAGTCAACCGGCTCTTGGCATATCAGGGTAGCTACATATAGCGAGCGAAGAATTTTATTCTTTACTTTAATGCCGGCCCTGCATTTTCTTATCAAATTGTGCTTTATTCTTTTCTATAATAGGATACATCGTGGAGTCCCTGTGTCCATCAAAATGGAAATGTCCAACAGCGAGATGTAGGGAAATGAAAGAGATTTCGAAACGGGTAGTCACTTCCAAAATACAATCCATTGAATGAATTATGCTAACTCAAGTACACCCGGTTCCTCTTACGGAAGAAAATCTGAAGAAACATCAAAGAGAGACGACATCAAATAGAATATCTTTGAAGAATACCAAAATAAGATCCAAAAGTGGAAAAAGCCTTCGTTCCGCTGGTGACGGTGAGAGTATCAAGTTTTACAGGGAAGAAGCGCTAAATGCCTCGCTTGATGATCAGCAAGGTTGCGAAAAGGAAACGTTTCCAGAAGTGGAATCAGAGGGCGACTCAAAGACAAAAATTGCTCAAGACATGAGTGAAGACAAGAAGACAAACTCCCAGCCGGAAACTGCTGCAAACGAGGTAGAAAGAAATCGAAAAGCTGATAATTCAGGTCTAACTAAAAAGGAAGAATTGTCCGAAGAAGAGGAAAACGATAAGCTTTCTGGCAACATTGCTTCAAACGAGGTGCAAACTAAACCAAAAACTGATAATTCAGCTCTTAATGACAAGGAGGCATTGTCCGAAGAAGAGGAAGGCGATGTACTTTCTCAAAAGGAGAGGGGAAGCCATGAACACGGCAGCGAGAACGCTGATGAATCTGAGAAGGAACTGGATGAAACCGAACAAAAAGCTGAGGGTGACGAAAATGATAATTCTGATCAATCTTCGGATGAATCTAGTTCGGTTGATAGCGAAAGCGATGTAATTCCGGCTGCCGCTAAAAATGACGATAAAAACACTGAAGACACTAATGAAACAGGTACATCTACTCGATCATCTTCTCCAGTAAGTGAGGATGATGACGAGGACGATGACTATTCAGTTGATGAAGATGACGATGAAACTGAGGACGAAGAGGAGGCTGAAGAAGCTGACAAAAGTGAGGACGAGCTGACTCACTACAGCAGCAGCTTGAACGCCAGCGTAAGTAGCATCCCTACTCTCTGTGACGACAGAGAAGGGAGTCCCGAATCGCCCAACAATTCCGCTGAGGAGTCAACTCTAGAGAACCCTGGCCAAGAAGAAGACGAAGGCGAGAGACAGGACCAAGAGACTGAAGCTGCCGGAAACGTGGTCACTGAGGGAGATGAAATGAAAGTAGACGAGAGGCAGGAAGGTAGCGAAGAGGATCCTGTAGCAGGAGAATCACCCATAGATAAAGAAGAAGAAAGGGGTCACAACACCCCTCCGCGTAGTAGGCAGGTCAGCGGAAGGTCGGCAACGCCTCGGACTGTTGTGGTAAGCGAGTTTGACGATGTGGAGAGCTCGATATTTGATCGCCGAGAGCTGAGCCGACCGGGCAGCAGCTCACGGAATGCGTTAACTTCCACGCCGAACAGTAGGAAATCTGATGTGTCAATCAAAAACTGGGCTGGGTTTGGTGAACGTGGCCATGTAACTAGTAACGTGGAAGATGTGACAGAACTTGTTGATTGCTCGGTGAAAGAAAACGTTTGCAAAAGATTGAAGACTAGAAAAATGCGAAACGCCAAGCAAGGAAAGACAAATATGAACAAAAGAAAAGTACTTAATCAGCAGACTGCTTTACAAAGAACAGGAAAGAAAATCGGTGATGTTCATTCTAAAGGGAGACCTCAGCTAGCAAGACAGAGCTCGCACAGCAGCGATAATTTAGACGCGTTGAACACTCGACAACGAAAAATAACTCGCAAAACACGAAGACCAGTGAAGCAAGTTTCTTTTGACAATTCTATCATTGAAAATAACACCAAAATACCTACTAGTGATTCTGCCTTCTTTGGAAGTCGAACAGAGAGCAGGGGCGACGGTAAATCAAGTACAAAACCTCCAGAAAGCGAGCGCAGTGACAGAGTTAGCAGCCGGTGGACTGGTGCGGAGACCGAACGAGCCTCCTCTACAAGCACACGGCCAGTAAGTACGGTCCAGTCTCCATGCAGTACTTTGTCCACAAGTCAGTGCTCCAGGCAAACATCTTTGGTTGATGTAATGACAACCGTCAATTATCCACCAGCTGTAATTTACGGAAAGAAGTCACAGCTTCCTTCTATGCGTCCACGGCGACATGGTAAGGGGAGGTGTTTGATCTTCTTAGACTATTATGTAAGACTATTATTTGTGGTTATTCCTCTGTTTCCAGAGTGTAAAAGAATTATTAGCGTCGAAGTTTAGTTTTGAGTGTAAATTTGATATAAGCTTTGTGTGAAGAAAAAAACAACTCCCTGTGCCACTTCTCCCATGTCTGCAAAAAGTACTGTAAGCCACGATTTGTTCCTCCTTTATGCCTGGCGCATGAAGGCGTCGGTTAAAATAATAGGGACCTTAAGCATTCGGGATGGCGACGCCAAGGAAGACGTCGATTAAAAAATGAAAATCTATTTTACGTTAGAAATTTTAAAATGGCTACATGTGTTTACCGTCTCTTACGGCGCCACACCTCAACTTCAGCATTATGTTTTTCAGCATCTTTGAGCTCCAAATGGAAATTAAAATAATTTGCCGTCGCGGTTTTCATTTGCAGACGACGCAGATTTTGATGATTTCACGTTGTTGTTTTGCAGAGGACGACTGAGAAATGTACAAAGTTTTAAAACGCACGTGCTGAGCTATTGTTCAGCCCATTAGATCTTTTGTTTTCCCACGTCCTCGTTACCGTCGCCGTCGTGGTTTGCTTAAGGTCCTAATAATGATAACGATGATAATAATGATAATAATAATGGTAATGATAGATGATAGTGAGCTTGCGAAAAATACTTAAATATAGATTTTCTACGTTAGGTCAAAAAGCGAAGGAAAATGAAAGTAATCACGCACAAAAAAGAAAACAACAATATTTGAATGAAAATAAACTGAAGACAAAACAACACGATAAAAGCATACTTCTTTGGACTGAAGCAAATTACACAGGGATTTTGTTTCAAGTCAGATCAATCTAAAAAAGGGAAGGAAGAACGCTAAAACAAACAATTTATAAGGAAAATAACACAAGGCAGGTCAAGCGACTGTAGCCGTTGAGCGCTGTCAGTTTAAAACCGAGCGGAAGCCTGCGCATGAGTCTAGTTTTTTCCGTTTCCGTGACTACGCGGTGTTTTGGCAACCTGACGTCACGGACCCAAAACATTAGACTGCCGCCATGTTTGTGCAGCACTGCTAACGACTCACATAGTAACAGTAATTTTCCACGAGATAGCTGTGGATCGATCGAAGCATCATTTGTCCTTAAAATACTACAAACGGAACTCTAGAGTCCTGTTATGACTCTAGAATTCGAAAATCCACCGCTTCTGTCCAACATCGCTTTGAATTCGTCCTATAATAATGAGAAAGATTTCGGAGCGTTGGATCGAGTGAGGTCTAAGAAAACTTCAGTGATTTCTGTGACCAGGAGGGAAAGTCTCCTTGCTAGGGAGGAACTACAGGAAAAACGTGAAATGTCTGGCGAATATTCTGACAACTATGATAGTTATGATGATGATTTTGACAGCCCGAGTGCCACGAAAAATGCAACACGATCTCGGAGGTACTCCTCGAGACGCGAATCAAGAACATCAGAGAGGGCCCAATCAACGTCGAGATCACCGTCTGATTCACCTCCAAAACAGCGATCACGATCGAAAAAGGCGTCTACAAGGAGAGATTCCTTTGCTTCGTACCGAAGTGCATATGGCACAAACAGAGGTAAACTTAGTGCCTTTTTCGGCAAATAAGTTTGATGTGGTTTTCAGTCATTGGAGGTCTGTAGTTTTCTTTGACTTTCCTCATAACACCATCGAGTCTTCAAATATTATGGAAAGTGTTTCTTGTTGTTTTCATTCCTTCTTATTCACGAGAGATCTAGAAATCAGAATGATCAGATCAGTCGCAGGAACCATAAAATTTCATGTACCGGCGTAATTAGATCGATGTCGGGATGAGTGTACGTAAATCAATGTCTTAAAGATGGTTGTAGCGAGTTTTCGAAATCGAGACCTCAGTAAAGGGCCACATTTGTTCGTGACTACAATAAAAGCCTCCTTGAAACAACTTTTCAAAGAAAAAGGGGCGGTAAAAAATTTGCAGTGGAACGAAAAGCAAACTTTTTAGTTTGTTTGTACTCAGTACATAGTTTCTACAACACGTCTGGCACCTTGCTTTACAGCTTAAAAAACAATATAAATATTTAATTGTCATCAAAGGAGAGAAAAACTCGTAGTGTCCACAGCAGTAATTCTTTTATTTTTTTTTTTATAAATGGCGATTTCATCCATAGGTCGGCTGGAAGATCTTTTTTCCATTAAAATTATCATCGTTTAGTTATTTTTGATGATTTCTTCTGTAACAATGAGATTTTATATTTGTGTGTAAGAGCTTGTCTTTGTCCAATATTTTTTACCCAAACTGTTTTGTGCAATGTTGTTTTTAGTTTCACTAATCAAATGTTCAAAACAATTTTTAGTTTGCTATAATGACCACTGCCATGTTGATTGAAAATTATTACCTCTGGTGCTTTTCTTGCCAATGTGTCAACATACAGCTATCCTTAGTACTTACCACAAATACTTATTGAAAATCAAGGTGATTTTTCCCTTTAATTGCGGCTGATTTTCATGTGACATCATCAAATTTGAAAATTCAAAAATATAGAGCCACCAAAAGTTTTATTCTCATCAAGCACAAGAAGGCCTAAATTTGTATATGTTTTCAAATTTTCGGCTCAATAGCAAGCTTGGTTTGGAAACAAGGACAGTTTGAAGTTCAAAGTTATGGTGGTTGCATGATAAAAAACTTCGATGGTGTTTGTCGAAAAATATAAAGTTATCTGGTGACTTTTAGCCTTTTTAGGAAATTAAGTGTTTGAAAAAGTATTTTATACATGTTTGTTGGTTTAATTTAGGTAATTGATGGGTTAGATAGCCAAAGTAAGCTCAAGGCTCCGGTTGTTCAAAGGGCGGATAACGCTATCCAACGGATAAATTGCTATCCAGTGGAAAAGTGTTACCAAAACGTCCTGCGCTATCCACCGGATAGAGATTTACCCAGTGTATAGCTTTATCCATCCTTCGAACAACCGGGGCCAGGTGTTTTACACTATTTCTGGCTGCCACGTTGGTGGACAAAAGATATCCACCAAAATGGCAGCTCCATACTGTGCTCTGTAAATTTGTGCAAAACATTTCGATGAATAATTCTTAAGTTTGGGAAAACAAAGAGACATAACATTTGGAGAAGTGCTTCCTTAACCTATCTTCTATAACATTGCAACTTCTGAATGTTATCCACTGAATTCCTTCTCTTGATGCGTTACAGTGAAAACGATCAATCCAAGAGTTTTTCCGTTAGCCCAGTTTGGGCGACTGGTCATATTATATTAGGTACATGTAGTTTCGAGATTGGAGCTTGAGAAATTGACATAATGCATCAATTAACAGGAGAAGATTTAAAAGAGTAAATGTGGATGAACTTCAGGTTGATTTTGAGGTTTATCATTTTTATTTGGAAAATGAGATATATCATGTTCAGAAACTGGCTGACTTGTCACCTGTTACAAATAATAAATTGAATTTGTCTAAGGTGTCATGACTTTCCTCCTTGAGAACATAATAGTTGTTGAGGTTGCATTTTTACCTTAAAATAGCTCTCATATGTATGTATTTTTTTCCTAATGATTAATTTTGTTTTTATTCAATGGGTCTTAGCCACTTTTACTGTACCATGATGTGAATAAAAATTTATACCATGCAATTATGCACCATATATGAGCTGTATGTATGTTTAAAACAACCTCCCATGCAGTTTTTGTTATTGAGACCATGAAATTGATTTTTTAAGGGCTTCAGGGGTCTATGTTATTGCTAATTACATGAGCTAAGTGAATGGTAATTCTGAGACTTTTGCAAGATATTTATTCAAAGGGTAATGTTTTTCATGAACATTGAGTTGCACAAAGGAAGCTGAAATTCCGAGAAAACTGTAAAAAAGACTGACAGACAGATTTAGATTTAAATTTTAAACCAAATATGAAGCTTGATTAGTTCCAAATTTTAAACTGAAATAGTAAAGTAGCTTTGACTTTATTCTCCAAAATGAATGCTAACAGACTAGCTTAATTTCAAGGCCTACTGTTCAAAGAAGAGTGCAGTATTTTAGAAATCATGGATACCTTCCACCTGTGTTTATTTTTGTTCCTCTGTTTTGCTAATAGGTCAATTACAGAATTAAGGAGGATTAGTATTCAAAAAATACCAGGCATTAACAAGATTGCCATAGCATTACTCATTTGTTGATAATTAATCTATAGAAGTAAGTGTTGCATCCCAAGATAGAGAGGTTTTTCTGCAGAAAACGGGATGTGTAATGCGATACAGAAGATTTAATCAATATTGTCTTTTGTAATAAGATTATTAACTTTACCAATCCCTCCTTTTAAATTTATGTACTTCTTTCTCCAACTTAAACGAAACTTATCCAATAATTTGTTATATTTATATAGTATGCTTTTTATTAAGTTGAACGTTATCATCTCTATTTCCTTTAACCTTAAGAGCCCTTAAAGTGACTAACATCTAATTTTTTCTTACAATATCACCCTTGAATCACACATCAAGGTCATGAGAATTAAGGAAATGATCACAAGCTAAGGAACCTCTAGATTGATAAACAAATTCTCCTTGTTATCACCCAAGGAAATGTTTGGAGAACAGTATGGACAATATGCATACTGATGTTAAGGTGTGAACGTAATTATTCTTCTTTTTGTATTTTAGGCCCACCCAAAAATAAACCCAAGAAGAGCCAATCGGCTAGCTCTAAGATGACTACCAAAACCACGGGTGGGGAAAGTTCAATGATGAGGCGCGTGTTATCTGCTAACAAACACAAAGTTTCAAGACTTTACAATATCTTAGAAGAACTACAGCAAGAGGTCGAAGAACTTAAGGACGAGAATAAATCTCTGAAAAGAGTGAGCCATCGACAAGAAAAGCAAATTAAGAAAATCGACGAAGAGGAAGCAAGTTTGCCCATTTTGCTTCAAAGGCACAGTGCAGAGATGAGAACTTTGAAGGAGAGAATGAGAAAAAATCAAGAAGTTTTGCACAAGAAAGAAAGAGAGTCTAAAGATCGAGATGCTGAGATTCAGAAACTGCGTGATCAAGTGAAAAATTTCCGTGCGCTATCACAGGATAGGAAACTAGAAGAACGAGCGGCTTTGGCAAAAAAACTGGAGAACGTCCAGGACGAAATAGCGACAAAAGACAAAAAGATTTTGGTAAGTTTGTTTCGTGTACTCAAGGAAAATGACAAACGTACATGGAGGGTGCTTCTTAGTGTCGTAAAACCAAGTCAAAGTGATGGAGAAAGGAATATGAATGCAGGAAAATGGTGAAGGCACTTTTTAGATGATCGTTTAATGCATTGGGGGATAGTGCTGGTTTGTTCCTTTGCCTCTCTCTGTTTGGTTGGGTTGGTCTTTAAACTCCCGCTAACTTCGGAACCAATCAGATAAAACTGATTGCGATTGGTCACGCATGCTCTCCCGTGCTTTAGACTGACAGTTGGTTTATTTTTGCTTTTGTTTCTCATTGGTTCCCCGTGAGATACACGATAGATTTCTTCTGGCGATTGGCTGTTTTGATCACCTAGGATGTTGTTTTATGACTCTGGATGTCGTTAGCTCCTTGTGATCTAGTTTTTCCTTCGTTCTGGGCCCGGTTATTCAAATGGCGGATTACTCTATGCAATTGATAAATCGCTATCCTGCGGATAAGTGTTAACAAAACGTTCTGCGCTATCTAACGCATAGAGATTTTTCCCGGGATAGCGTCATCCAACTTTCGAACAACTTACACCTGATTCTCTGGTATAAAAAAAAGGAAAAAATTGCCATTAAGGACTCTTCACTTAGTAATACTGCATCTGTAAAGTATTCAGGTGCGTTAAAAAAAACAAATTTCAAAGTTCATAAATATAATCAAACTAGTAGTAGCCTAAAAATAGCTACACTTTTATGCAAAGTTTGTTTTCCAAGTGCTTCTGGAATGTTTTTGGGAAAATATTCACATAGCAACTTTTCAAACTTAATGAGCGTTGGATAAAACAAAAAACACCTTTCATCCCACTAGTTTTTGCATCTCCATAACAAAGCTTTTGACAGACTAACGGCCCCCTAAAGTTTATTATATCAATTGAATTTTCCTTCCTAAAATCGTGCTCTCGTGAATCGTTAATAACTCAGCCATTAAAATGTATTACTCAGCTGTTTGGTTCTCACGGTTTTTAGGATCTACAGAAAGCTATCGCACTCAAAGACAAGGCAAGACAACGAGAGATGAAGGACCAAAAAGACCGTTACAAGCAGGCCAAAGAAGAATTAAAACGTGTCCAAGAGGATTTTCGTTCGCTTCGAGAAAGACTGAAGGTAATTAAGGTTCTTTTACATTCATGTTTTTAGTCGAAGGAAGGTTTGCAGGATTTTCGCCATTTTTGGACACTCTGGTCAGGGTCAGCTTGTATGTTTGATAAAATTCTCCGCCGAATTTCACTCTTCGATAGAGAGCGCATTGTGACAAGTAATTTTTTTTTTCGTGAAAATAAAATGTCAAGCATTTGCTTCATTGTATCAGCAATGCAGACTTTGTATAATAGAGGACTGCTTTATATCTTCGTAAAAATAATTTTTACTTATTTGATGTATTTATACAAGGAAAAGACTTAGGCAGAGAACCAACTTGCAAATTAATTACGGAAGTCGCTTTCTTCAAGTGAGAATTTCTCGCTACGTACATGTTATGTTGATAACTGCTTTGTAATCTGTTAGAACATTTGTCTTCGATTCTTTTGCCACTTGGAGGCACTGATCCCTGACTTTAAGACGGAAGTTGTTGCTCTGAGGCGTCCATGATTATACATGTAGATCGAATTAGTCTGTATTCATTGTATTTATCTTCCCCCGTTTCTCAAGTTCTTTCCAAGGCATAGTAATTGATCAGTTGATGCAACAAAACATGTTTCGTCAACGAAATTGCAGAATGCAAGAATTTTTAAGCAATTTGGCCCGGAGAATGTTTTTCCTTAACATCCAAAACTTTTTAGGTTTGTTCACTGATAATGCTTTGTTTGTTTGTTTGCTGTCGCGTAGCTCCACTTGTCTTGCAGCTGAACAGTTTATTTTGCTCAGTTTTCAAGTTTATGCTTTTATTTTCTCGTCACTAGGAAAAAGAAAGAGAACTGGATGAGAAAAACATCTATCATCAACATATTGTGCAGAAGAAAAAGAGAGGCCCAGATTTACCAGCCCTTCCTGCGGGCAGCCAGGACATTCATGCGCCCGCTGTTACTGCTCCAGCGGTTCACATTGAAAAAACACCAGATACGAAAAAGAAAAGAACAAATGTGTTTCTGACAAATGCGGCGAGTGACTCTGGTTCGGTTGTAACGGATGAAGGGAGGGACACAGACGAGAAGTCTGAAAAAGTCAGCGTTAAACATGAACATCCCGTGGTTTCTAAACAGATGAGACATGATGAGGTTTTCCAAGTTGATGGGAAGGAAGACGAAGGGAGAAAAATGAGAGACCCTGAGGAGAGAAGAAGACGCGAGGAGGAAGCGGACCAGAGACGGCGCATGGATGAGGAAGAGCGCAGAAAAAAAGAGGAGGAAGAGAAACGAAGGGAAGAAGAACATGCACAGAGATTGCGAGCAGAGGAGGAACAATTAAGGAAACAACGGGAGGATCAGGAACGCGCCAGGAAGCAAAAGGAAGAAGAAGATAAAAAACGGTTTGAGGAAGAAGCTGAGATTAGACGGAAGAAAGATTTGCTGCTGGCTCGCATGCGAGCAATTGATGTGGGAAACGAGAAGCCAGACGCTGTAACGGCAACCGGAGGCACTTCTGGTGTCCCTGTGGAAGACAAACCTAAAAAACTTCCGATTTTCCTTCAGAGTGAGAAGCCTGTGAAAACAGAAGAGGAGCCTTCGAAGCCTCTATACGCGGCAAATCCAGATGACGATGTTCTGTCCGATACTAGTAGCGGCCGAAAAAAGCTCAGTGCAAGCTCTAGACAAAGCCGCTTCTCTTACGATTTCAAACAAACTGTAGAAAACCTTCATCATGGACTCCCTGCGCATGCTGCACAGGAAGGCGTAAAGCCAGAGGCCCAAAAGCCGGACACGAAAGACTCTCTGTCGGACGATCTAAGTTTCGGTTCTTATAAACCTACACTGGGCAGGAGGGCTGCTACCAAAAGAGACAATAAAGACGATTTGAGTTTTGGAGGGTACAATCCTTCATTTGGTTCGCAAAAAGAGACAACTCGCAAAAATAGCGGTCTTAATTTTGGCGCCGGGAAGAAAAACGCTACTGAAAAAGAACAAAACGGTGTCATCTTTGAGGATTATAATCCTTCGTTTGGAGCAGCGTCAAGTAAGCCAGCAGCTTCTAGCCAACCAAACGGTGATATTGGAGGAAAGACAAGCCCCCCACGTGGTCGCAGACCTAGAGCTCACGGTGGTAAACCAGCTTCTTTGTTTGACGACGATCTTTTTGCAAACGAGGAAGTCAAACCTACGGGGAATCCTCTGTTTGGAGACAGATCCGTAAAAAAGGACACATCATCTTACCCGTGGGAAAACAAAGTAAATGTTACTAGATCCAAGGAATCCCAGGAGGATTCCCTCCTGCCTCGCAGAAAACATTTGCAAAGTATTGGAAAGAGCACAGAGAAAAATGTTCGCGCCGTGGATAATGCGCTGGATGATATTGATGACGAGATTGAGGAAGTTATTCTATAAAAAAGAGTTTTAAAAAAATAATCTAGATTATATTGTACACAATTATTTGAGAAACGCATTACCTTTCGCCTACAAGATCTTCGGACAATTTGAGAAGTTAGCATCTGACATTTTTTTTGTTGTCCATTTGCAAGAACTTCCATTAATTTTCTTAAGTATCGTTTGTTATTGAGGCTAAACTCGAAGGATGTCGCGTTTTTATCGAAGACGTAAATCTCACCAATAAAAATATTTTCTCATCAAATGAGTCTCTCTTTTTGTAGCTTCACCTGGCAGACGTAGACTCGATGAGCCTTTGGCATTTGTGGCTGATAATATGTCAAAGTGTACTTCTAGTGCGTTCACAATATCCAAACAGCTCCGCAAGTCAAACAAACGCTTGATGGCTCTTTCCGTGTCGTATCATCCCGGTTACAACACCCCCCCCCCCCCCCCCCCCAACTTTTAGGTGCTCCACTCAAAAGGGATTTTGTTTAAGAATATTCTTCATGATAAGCGTTTTCTGGCGCGGTTTTGCCTTCTTAAAATCGTCCACTGAACCTTCTGAACAAGAAACACAACGACAAGGATAAATAACTTTGTTTTGTCTTGTCAAATGCTGAGTGTTTTTTACCTCGTTTTAATAATTTTTCAAATAATATTACAAGTTTGAAGTTGGGCTTTTCATGGCTACTGCCTCCTACGCAAGAAAAAAAAGCTCTATTGTCCCGTTGAGTGAGTGTAACGCCTGGCGATTTCTTTAGGATCGCTTCGAATGTTATGTAGAATTAGCACATGATTACAATTTTTCTTGGCGCTACTTATTGTTTCTGAATATTACAGAAGACAATAAACATCTTACAGTCATTTCAGAATGGCCCTTTGTTTGCCCGCACAACATGTATGACTGACTTTCTCACTTCAGCACGACGTACAGCTAAGGGTGCACTGTTGTCATTATTCAGTGATGGACACATTTCAATGATAGTTTCAGTTATCTTGTGGGGACACTCTTACATCAGGATAGTAAATGAAGTCCCTCCCCACCCCACCCCCACCCCCTCAAATCTGGGTTCATCCATTACTTGAAAGTAATTAGACCATGGTGTTCTAGCTCTCACTGCAGTGCATTTTCTCCAACGTTAAGCATCATGAAGGCAGGTTATGTATTCTTCCAATCAGACCACAGCAAGGGCTGGGCTGCAAAGCAGAACTGACATCTTTTCAGTCTCAGTTTTTACTGCCTCTTACCACCTTTAGTATAGTTATGTCTTCGCTAATCTCAAAATAGTACAGTTGAGATGATTTTATTTGATGTAACTATCCAGCATGGAAGTCCAACAGCCCCTGAAGCAAGAGAAACATTGACATTACTGTCATCATTATCAGGATCAATGACAAAGAAAAGGTTAATAATTTGGTACAGTAATTAAACTAAAGGAACAACCCAAGTGTAATTTTACCCAATTACCAAATCAGGAGTTTGTCAATGAAAATTGATCAACTAAACACTTCTTGTTAACTGCACCCCATCAATCCTAACCATTTCCTCAAGTTTTTTTCAACCCGGTCCCCTTACACTCTAATATCAGCATGCATATTCCCCTTACTGTTCTTTACACCTCTCCTATGGACTGACAAGGAGAAGAATTTGTTTCACAATCAAGGTTTCAATCAAATATTAATCATTTCCCCTATTCTTGTGACCCTACTGTTTGATTCACCAGTGATAATGTTTGGAGAAATTAAATGCTAGTCACTCCCAGTAGTTGAAGAGATAACAGTTTGCTGTCACCCACTGGAGTAACTGTTATACTCCTTAATGGAGACACACACTCTTGCTAAGGAACACAACACAATCATCTGCAGTCGAATATGCTCATTGTAAAGCTATCATTTTTCTTAATTAAAGGAAAATTTGGTCAGTTGCAGTTTGCTTTGATATCATTTCATACTGTAGCTCACCAGGTATTCCAGTAGGGAATGCTAAAATAGTGTTAAGTGGATAGAACCACTCCACAGGTAACAACACCACTGGCTCCTTTCTGTACAGCATCAGAAATGTTATATGACAAATGCCCTTCAAGAAGAATCAAAGTGACACTAGTGAACTTAAGGATATACTGTACAGAATTTGATTAGAATTATGTAGTGCTTTTACTGAAAGCCAATGATTCTGTATTCCAAGAAACAGAATTTAGCCATTATCTCTACAAAGGTCCTTGCCAATTGATCTGCTGAATTTAACAATTGGCCTTTGTTAAGAAGCAAGCTCTATCCAGACTCTAAGGCTGAGCTAACCCCACAGAGTTTCCACATCAGATCCCCACATTACTCATTCCTATCTTTTGTGTATCCACAAGTAAAAATTAAAGCACTATAAAACATCCTGAGGTACATGTATCCTAACAGGGTAGAAAACTTAGTCTATTTTGTGCCTGTTGTGTAATTTTCTGTCATGACTAAATGTGTACAAGAAATGTGTAATTTTCTGTTACGACTATTTTGTGCCTGTTGTGTAATTTTCTGTTACGACTATATGTTGCATTGTTAAATCTATGCTTTGATGTCACATCTGCCTCATGCCTCAAAGACCAAAACCAATGGTCTAAGGGTCCCTTTGCATGTTTTAAAGGCAAATTGGTCTTCAACCCTATTACTTCCTAGCCACTTCTGGAAGTGGAAAGGTTTGACAGTGAAATTACAATAGCAGATACTAAGTAGATCACACTTACCAGTAGTCCCATGAATATTACTGTTAAAATTTTTCTTATTTGCAATATCTTCTCACTTCTCTGTTTCACTAAATAAAAAAAAATGTTTCACACATTGCAAAATAAAAACAAATTCAGGATTCAAGAAAAGTAATTCCATAATATTGTACAGTATATTCCTGTGACCCAGTTCATTTGATGTGCAATGAAAATGTACACATCACAATGTAGTTACTATTTCTTTGTAGTCAGAGCTTACAAGTGAGTAAATCACAAGTATCAAAATGGTGAATTCATATTTAGTTCACCTGTGTACAAAGGCTGTGTATAAAGGCATCGCAGGTTAATTAACCCTTTAACTCCCAGAAGTGATTAACATGAAACTTCTCCCTATCATATCCATACATTATCTAGCAAACAGGTAGCTAGTGAGAATACTCAAACTCATCAGGGAGAAGTTCTTATCTGATCTAGCACTCAATTTTCATAACTAATTTACAAGGAAATGTGTAGCAGCTAGAGGGGAGAATTCTCAATCAGATCTTAGGAGATAATAATAATAATAAAGTATTTCTTATATAGCTCTATTTACAATGACAGATCAATAGCACTTTACAGTTGATATCTCTAAATATTAAAATCTCAACTAATTCAAAAATAATTATGTATTACAGTTAAATTGGCTATATAAAATTCATAACTTAACCACTATAGAAAGGATTGCCTAAAAAGAAAAGTCTTAATTGAATTCTTAAAATTTCTACAGATCAAATATTGCATAATTGCAATGGTAGCTCATTCCATAGATGCAGTGCAGCTGCCTGAAATGCACATTTACCCAGGGTTGCCAGCATTTTACCTCTAGGTGGCTCTAATAAAATACCTGAGTTAGATCTAAGATTGTACAAGGACTTGCGTTTGATAACTAAAAGATTGCTAATATATGCCGGTGCGAGGCCATGGATGGTTTTAAAAGTTAATAATAGGATCTTAAAATGTATACGCACTAGTACTGGTAACCAGTGTAACTCATAGAGTACTGGAGTAATGTGAGAATACTTCCCAATATCCATAATTAGTCTGGTGGCAGAATTTTGCACGCATTGTAACTTAGCTATTTGCTCTTTGGGAAGGCCATACAATAAAGCATTACAGTAATCTAACCTACTCGTGATGAATGAGTGTACCAGAGTGAGTAAGCTGTCTCTCGATAAATACTTCTTAATACGTCTAATATTATGCAAGTAGAAAATACCCACCTTACATACATTAGTAATATGGTGGCGCATATTCAGGTTTGGATCAAGCCAGCTCCCAAGGTTCTTAACTTGGTGGCTAGATTTTATCTCTGAACCACCTACTTTAATATTCATAGCCTGTAATTTGTTAAGTTGCTGGCGTGTTCCAATAATAATAAACTCAGTCTTATCATCATTGAGGAGTCTATCATGGATCAGCCTGTGCCCGATCTTCTCGATACAACATTCCATCACATGGATTGCATCTTCCTGGAATGTGTTACTGATAAAGATAAAGGGTTCAGTGAGATGAAGGAGTCTGTACCTGGACCATGACCCATCCAGCTGACCAGTACCCATGGGTGGAAAGAGGCACTGTGACAAGGTGTCTCATCCCAACAACACAACACATTGACCCAACCAGGTCTTAAACCCAACCTCTCACTGAACCTATGCCTGTTTGTTTAAAGGCTTATTACTGCAGAGTTTCTTAATATTCCTTTCTTCAAGAGCCTTTTTAAGACATATAATTTCTCCAGTCTTTTTAAGGCATATTGGATCATCAAATTGTAGACAAGAAGAAACATATTGATTTTTCCTTTAAAAATTTCAGATCTGAAATCAGATTTCACACTAAAACTGGAATATCTTAAGTAACTCAGCTTTGAACAACCCAGCCCCAAGTCCAATGCACTAAACATAAAACCACAACATCTCCCACAGGTTAGAATGAACTTCAGGTTAAAATGAAATTCAGGTTAAAATGATTTCAAACCAAGTTGATTTTGAATCTTTTCTTGTTTTAAAAGTTATCATTATGATAATTCATTTGCAACAGATCAAAAATAGATAAAATATTAAGTTTCAGATCATTTCATCCTAACTTCATTTTGAACAAAATCTGACACAAAAGAATAGCCTGAGTAGGGTAAGATAGAATAATGAAAATGGAATTTGTCAAATATGCATGAGAAGGAATTATTCTAAATATTCAAGGAGCTGGGTTTTCTAAAAATATTTAAAGAGTGAGCCCCACGTTTACTTCCAAATTCAAGTTCTAATGTAAGATTATATATAGATTTAGCCAAGCCTAAAAGCAGAGCTCCCAAGTTTGTAATATATGATAACATATAAGATGTGCATTTGCCAAGATTCACCTGAGACACCCCTCCCTTCGTTTTGATAGTCTCCCCTACCCTACCCATGCAATCTGAAGGCATGTACATAAGTATGTACGCTCGATCAGTCACGTGACAACCAAATGAAAAAAGGTTGACCATATTCCATGGGTATGGGGCAATGTTCTTTGTTCTTTATTTCGAGAGGGTAGATACATGATTAATCCAGTAAAGAGTTTTTTAACATATGGCCCTCTAATAAACCCACCCAACCCACGCCAGGGGAGGACATCCATCACACAGTAATCTCGTGTGTGGGAAATTAATGTCTCCTACCCCAACCCTGCAGGAGACGGGACCTCCATTTATTCGTCCCTATCCGAGAAGACTAGAATATCTAACCAATTGTTGATGTTATAGAAAGGCAGCAAATTCTTCTCAATTATTTTAAGACCCTGAGTCTTGGTCCGGCCGGGGCTACAACCCTCGACCTCCCACACAACAGTCCAGCACTCTATCCATTGAGCTAACCTTGAAGCGCATGTGGGAGCCCCGCTATAAATAACCAATACCTAAAGGATGAAAGATGAATGACCTTAATTATCACTTCAAAAATGCTTAGTTACCCTTTAACTCCTAAGATTGATTTAATGATTAAAATTCTCCCCTCTACCTGCAACACATTTCTTTGTAAATTAGTTGCAAGAATGAGGTTTCAAAAACCTCTGCCAGATAGGTTTGATTATTCTCATTAACTGTTTGCTGGATAATGTATCAATATTAGATGTTAATAAATTCTGAGAGTCAAGGAGTTCAAGCAATGTTCATAATTTCAGAGGGTAAACCTCACACTTTGTCCCCATTTACAACTGCAGCATCATCAATCAGTGATCATAGAGTACCTGTTTGTGACAGCTCCTCAGTCAATTTCTTAATTTTTCTATCAAGGCGCATGTATTGAGCAAACTCATCCTGAAAAAAAAAAAATTGATGTTGACTAGGAAAAGTTGGCTTCTAATATACTGTCTTTTCCTCCTATAGAATTATCTTTTAACTGTCGCCCAGTTAGCTCAATTGATAGAGTGCTGGACTGTTGTGCGGGAAGTCAAGGGTTCAAGCCCCAGCCGGACCAACACTCAAGGTCTTAAAATAATTGTCGAGAAGAATATGCTACCTTTCTATAATACCAAGAAATGGTTAGATATTCTAGTCTTCTCGGATAGGGATGAATAAATGGTTGTCCCGTCTCCTACAGGGTTAGGGGTAGGAGAAATTAATTTCCCACACGCGAGATTACTGTGTGATGGATGTCCTCCCCTGGGGTGGGATGGGTGGGATTTATTGGGTGGACTACTAGCATGGTTCGGATAGGTTCCGTTCTAGTCCTACCCTACTGCGGTAATGCAGTGAAAAAAAAAAAAATGGTTAGAAAACTTTCTTGAAGAAGTGCTTCCACGCTTGTTTAAATTTTCAGTTCGGGGGGGGGTGGGAAGAGCCAATAGGACAGAAATCAAAAGAACAAATAACAAAGCACCTGTAGATAGAAGTAACTAGAATGTAAAAGAAACTATTCTCCTATACCAATTCTGCTGTAATTGAAGCTTAAAAAGTCACAAATTCACAAATGAAGTGGCAAGAGAAAAAGGACTTCCTTGTATCCATACTATTAAATAAACGAAGTGAGGAAAGTGAGGAAGGAGAGGGTTTGGTGGTTATTTGAGGGAGTCCTTTTTTGAAATTATGGCCTGGGGGGATGAGTGTTTATTCCAGGAAGTGTACTTATAAGAGTGTGGGCCCACAGAACACAAGTCATATATCTTATCAAACATTTTGTTGTGTAGTATCACTGAGTACTTTTACGAGTTGTGCCGTATTTTGACAAGCCTGTAGCTGAGTCAAAATGCAAACAGAAAGTGAAAATACTCAGCAAAATGTTTATTACTACACAACAAAATGTTTATTAAGAGATTTATTATCCAACACACCAAATTGTTATTTTAGTGCGGGTGAATTAAATAATTTAATTGAAATTTAAAAACGATCTCTGGCTAAAATGATTAAAAACTACGAGCTTTCGATTGCCCAAACTGCAGTCTTCGATGGGTAAAATGAATGATAAGAAAGCGATGAGAGAATTTAAATGAAGACAGGAACTGCGAAATAATGAAAATGTAAATGATTATGAATATTTGTTAAAAAAGAATGTTGTATTGTCCAGGTAACAGGCAAGAATTGTTATCTGCGTTAGGTGTCACTCTGGTATGCCACGCTTCTAATGTTTTTCTGGTTCTAAAAGTGCCTTTGTCAATAATTGACACGTTTTCAAAATCAACGGCGTGGTTGTTGGACCAGGTGTGATTAGCAGTTCTAGAACCTTTGGCCGCAGTTTTGATATTTCTCAAATGTTCTTTTTTTCAGGTATTAAAAGCTCTACTGGTTTCCCCAATATAACACCACGAACAATTTGTGCAGGGAATTTAATACACAACATTGGTCTGCAATTCCATCGAAGGTCGGAATTTCGGAGCTGGGAACTCTTGTTGTAGAGTGGTAAATGGTTTGTTTACAACTGTGACATCACGTTTTTTGAGGACACCTGTCAAAGGTTCAGTTACTCCTTTGATGTAAGGAAGAGAAGTGAAAGATTTGCGTGACTCAGTCAGTTCAACCATCTTGAAAAACATTCAAACAAGTTCCTCTGGGGATACATTTGTTGTTGAGGATTGATTTTTTCTAGCCTGTTTGTTTCTGATAAACTTAGATGGATAGCCGTTATACTCCAAAGCTGCATGGACATAATTAAGTTCATGCTCTTTTCCTTTGGAGGAGTAATTTAAAGTGTCCACCATATTTTTTTGTAACTTGAGTCCCATTCATTGCTTGCGCAATGCGAGAAAATCTCTCTACCTGGTTCACCAGAGCACAAATACTGTGAGATATTTGTACTCGTTTTGGGTGTTATTAGTATTCTATGAAGCACAGTTGGATAATAAATTACAGGTATTGCTGGCTATCATATTGCACATTCTTTTATTGTGGTTTTAGTCTGATGTTCAACACAAGATTTGAAAACTGATTTATTGTAAATAACCTCCACTTTACCTGAGCATTTATCTTAATTTGCTCATTCTTCAGTTCCGTGATTGTGTCTTTCACGTGACTCTTATTCTGTCGTTTACTCATCAAAAGTCTTGGCAACTGTTTAGGGAAAAAAAAAAAAATTGATGCATAATTACATTGAAAGTGAAACTAACTACAAATTAAAGAATATGATTGAGGCTGACCCAGCCAATTTAATAAATGCGAAGTGCTACAAAATTGGTTTGTAATAACAATAACAATCAGGACGTAACAAATCGACCCTTTCTCCACTTGCTTAAGATTTTACAAAAGTGATGCTTAACAATTAATATCAGTTTTATCACAAATTGATCGAAAGCGTTTTTACTTCCCCCTGATGATTATATTCTCAACATCATCTACTATTCTTTTCCTTTTTAACTTGCATTTTTTCATCGCTATGGAATTCAATGCAATTTAATTTCACAGAATCTAAAACTAGCTCATTGCATTCTCCTCCAATACCTCCGACAGGAAAACCGATTAACAGCCCTTGATAGTTATTAAAATGTCCTAAATAATAGACACACATGCCTTAAATTTTCAGAGAAAAGCTGATCCTACGGAGGTTTAACAATTATGCATAGTATGCTAAAAACACACGAACAAAACTCAATTTAATTCAATAGTTTTTACCCAGTCAGCCAGAAATCCGGACGATTTGTAAAGAATTCTCATGACAAATACATACACGAACACGAACAGAACCATTGAGACCGCCATCTTGTTTACCAACTCGTCACCAGTTTTTCACCGCAATTGAGACCTCACAAGGTTACTGAGTAATAATTATATATAAAGCTAGCGAATGTAGGCTTGATTGACTTTGGTTAGGAGATGAGAGGGCATATAATTTTTTGCATCCACAGTTCTTTTAACTCTCACGGAGACTTTGAATCATACGTTAAAAACTATTGCTCTCCCCCACCCCACTCTTTCTTTGCTAAAGACGCGTTACCTAGGCCAAAGAAGGGAAAATTTTAATTTCTTATGCAAATGCAAAAAAAGAGCAAAAGGTGTTGCAAGGGTAGAATTTGAAATAATAAGCAATAATTGGTGTGATAAAATTTTAAATCGAAGGAATTGCAAACAAGACAGACTGACTTAATACGATTCTATTTTTGTCGTGTAATGCGAATCAATTTTCTCAATCGCTGTTTCCTAGATTTCGATAACATTAGAAACATCAAGAGAGAAGACCTTCCGTATATCCTAACTCGTGACGTTTCTAGAATATATGACGGAGAGGTGTCCTGGACTTACTGGATTTGATTACGTAAATTCGCGCAAACAAACAAATAAAAGTCACTCAAATGCTCCATGAAGAGTGGAGGAAGCTTAGTTTCTGCGATCCACTCTCTATCATTTGTGTCAACCTGTCAGAATTTGGATTAAAGTTTAATAGCAACAAAGGCGGTGTCTGTTTTCGTCCGCATCCGGATTACTTCATAATGCCTGCATTTTAATGCCATTTTAGATTCGGGAACTGAAGTATACAGATCCCTTACACCTGGTGGAAAGTTTTGCGAGGTAAATGAGGTTTGAAGAGAACCGATAATTGCACTAGTTGGGTGGAATCAGAGGGGAAGAAAAGGAATTTCGTTTGAAAGATCCTAGGTATGTACAAATCCTTTCAGGCAAATTGAAATGCTTAAGATCCTTAGCAACCCTGTTTATTATGTGACAAAGAGAATGTTTTTGATAACCAAGGAACTAGCATACCTGCTAGACCCGCTTGCTTCTATTTTTTCGACCTCGAAAATTTGTTTAGTCGAGCTAAATTCAAGGAAATTTTCAAGACTACAATGTGCCAACTGATTATTTTAAAGAGCCAGTTCTCCACACTTTAATTACGGCTTTGTTTGCTTTTCTTGTAGACATTTAAAAGGTACGGCTGCTTTTAAATGTAAATCACGATTTTGCATTCTTATGTCGCCTTGATTGGCTTGAAATATTTTTGGTCGTAATTACCAACAGCAATAAACCCAGAACGAAGTAAAAAAAAAAGTCGTGGTCAGCCCTTAAGAAGAGCTGATGTACGATTTTTCACGTGGGTTTTTTCAGCCTCGCATGGGCATTATACAACGTACGGAAAACTGACGAGAAAGCCAAATGATATTTTTTCCGGTTAATCTTTGGAATGTTTCCACCCACCTTTATTACATTATAGGTGTCTGTTAACCCTTTACACCCTGCGATCGGTTTGCATATTCTCCATACTGTTCTCTGTCCATTTTCCTTAAGGTGCTGACAAGGAGACTTTACTATCTAGAGTTTTTTAAGTTGGGGATCGTTTTGTCTATTCTCGTGACCTTGACGTCTTGATTCAAGGGTTATATCGTAAGGAGAAATTACAAGCTAATCAGTCCAAGGAGTTAAAGAGTTGAAATTTGCCTTGGGCTAGTCAAGGCTCTTTTTACTGCAACGTTTTCTTTTTCTTTTTTTCTTTAGTATATATTGAACCCTCCATGGATAGACATATACCTGTGTGCATATTCGTGTGTCTATGGCTTGTTGAAATTTCTGGCGTTTATGGTGGACACATAGAGGAGATATCCACAATTCATGATATCGGTAGGGAAATTCACGGCAGTACTTTGACTTACATCTAAGTACTAGAGTTGTTATTTTGCTTAAGAGATGCCAGTTCTGAACTAGCCCGCGTGACTTGCGTTTGAAGGAGGGGATCTCTTTAGACGTAAATAGCTCAGCCTTCCCCCCCTACCCTCCCTCATGCCCCCTCTTGATGCGCACTGACTGACCCGACACAGGTTTAGTTTCTGGTAACAGTTGGGTAAGGAAATAACCTATGTGAAATGTAGTAACGTCATATTTGATCTTTATAGGCTTAAAAGACTTCCCTCGTGCAAAACCACTTCTATCAGGTACTGATCGATTGTGATAGGATTTCTGTACGTAAGATATTTTGCGTGCATGGCAAATTTTTCAAATGTGAATAAGTAACCAGCCTGCAAACTAATCATCTTCTGAGGAGGTTAGGAATACAGCTGCAAGCTGTTTCTTGAAGTGACATTTCGATCCACTGAAGAGTTACCGTCCAAAGTCCCTCGAAAAGTGATGTGATGCGCATTTGATCATATCCACATGTTAATTTTGCGCAATATGAATATTAAATTATTATTATTATTATTATTATTATTATTACCGTAGGCTGATGCAACTTTATCTTACTTCATTTTATCTAATATGTCGAGCTAAACTTTAATTGCGTCCAGATGGTTTCTTTTGAAAAGTGGTTTATGTTCTGATTTTCGTAGAGCTCTACTGCCCTTTCCTGAAGTAGTTTGCTTCTACCCGATTTAATTGTGGTGGGGACGTTTAATTATTATGTCTAGAAACAAACTCTAACTTCTAGCATTTCCGATCGTTCAGATTATTCTTGCTCAGTAAATCACATCAAGGCCGGCTGCTTTAATGACAAGAGAAACCCATCATCGAGGGCAATGGGCGAACTATTGTTTCAAGATCGATACGAAGGAAAAGGGTTCAGCGGTCAGAGGATAAACTGGGGAAGGTGGGACTCTTATCTTCCCGAGTAAGTAATGGCTTATACCTGACTAGGTGACACTTTTTACTGTCCCAATTCTTCTTTGCACTCAGTGAATTAATCAGGCACCGACAAACTGAAAATAAACTCGATCTATTGCAGAGAGGGGGACTGGTACCTAAGAGGGTGGGTGGGGGCAACAAAACGCGTAGTCACTTGATGCTACCAAGAGATTATAAGCGACATAAATCAGACATGGGCCTCTAGGCTTAACCCTCGCTAACCTTAGATTCACATTAAAACGTGATTTACAAAATTCTAACGAGTTTCCATCTGTTTGTTCCAATATCTATTTAGTCTTGTTTGTCGATGCGCTACGGCTGCAGCCAACAAGGGTTATTCTTTCTTTGGGATTCAGTTTTACGGAGAGTGCTGGAGTAGCGCAGACGCAGCCCAGCGGCTCAACATTTACGGTGTAAGCAACAAATGTGTTGATACGGATTACAAGGCCGGATGTGACAAAGTCAATGACAAACCTTGCGCTGGAGTGGCTCATGTGAACTTTGTTTATCAGATAGTTTCAGGTGAGAAAAGTGTCTTGGCGAAAAAAGAAGTGCAAAGAAAGAAAAGGAAAAAGGAGGGTGCTGTTATCGCAAATAAAGGCAGCCAAATAAGAATTTGTGACGAGACTAGAGCTTCTTGTTCACTCTCGAACGTCCTAAAGTATATTCAACAGAACTTGCGCTTCTCACCCTCTTTTCAGCTTTGTGCACTCGCCGCGTGCAAGTCCCCAATATCCGTTTTCATTTGACTACTTTTTTTATTACAGTTTTTGATAACATTTTCAACTTTCCATCAAATTTTACGATCGCATCTAATCTCTTGCTATTCACGTAGTCCCTCGCACTATTTCCTGAATCTCATACGATACGAAGACACTTGCTTAAATCCTTCCTCACTAAGGACTGTCCGAGAGTCAAGCTCTGATCGACTACATGACCTAAATTAAATATATTCTTTTCTCTCTCTCTCTTCCTTAGGAGATAATCCGAACGGGAGCGGTGGTGGGCCACCAATAAACCCAGACGAGTACTGACGCTTAAATGTTCGACGAGGCTGAAGATACAAACCGCGATGTTCGGAAACATTGACATTGTTCTCCTTTAATTTTCTGTGTTTGGGAGATAAATGAACAGCAGACCATCATGCAAATGAGCAAAAGTTATATCAGGTCGCAAAATAAACTTCAGCTAGTGCACCGTATTTCTTGAAATAAATAGCATCATGTTATCAGTACGATTTTTCATTAAAATTCACACTGTAAAAAATGAGGACATCATTTGCTCGTGTTCTTGATAATAGCGATAAGGAGTAGACTGTCTATGGTAATACTTTTAATGTTGGTGGCCAGATCCTTGGTCGAGGGCCGTTTATAAAGCCTTTAACTCTCAAGATCTTATTAGTCAGTTCTCCTTACTGTCTGCTATACAAATCTTATGATGTTCGTTTGGAGAAGTTGGTATTGGATCAACCAATACTCCACTATCTTAAATTTTTCTTCATTCTCTTCACTAGTCTGCTTGATATTGAAGGGAGAAATCCTGTCTCGGTAACTCACTGGAGTAAAAGGCCTCGGCTGAATCGAGTCTAGAACAATAAACCCCGGCCCCGCTCTTAAACTATTTACTGCCGCATTATTTAGCACTTTGTAAAAATTTACGAGATACTTAAAGGAGAGCAATGGTCAGTTAAAAAGTTCAAAAATGACTCATGGCAATGATCGTTCTGCTGGATCTTTCAATTTCTCTCGATGAAATTTACCTTAGTACTTCATAGGTATTTGTCGTAGCTGTCATGTTGTGAAGCAAAAATGTCAAGTTGGAAGGTTGCATCCGGGATTTGGTAATACTTGTGACCTAAGCAATAGCAGAAGTTGAATTGTTAAGAGAAAGCTCTTCTGGGAGAATGTTTGCTTTACGAGACAGAAAAATTAGCATGAAAATGGACACACCGTCGAACCGAATAGTTGAACATGTAGATCAGGGTAATTCACCTCGGTCACATTTTCACGCAGGACAAAAATTGAGATGAATGCAGGGAAATTGGGGCACTTTGGTAGAGAATGAATGCAGAAGAAGAAATGTCAGCTCCTCCAGTGAAGAATTCACATCTATTGAAGTACTTTTAAAGGTAAACCCTTTTGTGTAAATAGAGGACTTGAGCTTGTTAAGCATTAACCACACTTTATTAAAGCCTATATGTGGATTTGGCAAACACGGGAGTGGAAAAACATTCCTGCATAACAAAGACGAAATCCTACAGGAGTTAGGAAACGTCGGCTTCGAGCGGTGTACAAAGTCCTTGGAGCCATTTTCCTCGTCTTTTCGTTAAAATTTCATGCCTGCTTCAATCTTCAGGTACCCTTTTCGGTTGTCGCCGAGGACGAGGAACATCCAAGCGTTGGATAGAGGCAATTGTAAAAATTCTAGTTATCTTGATTTTTTAATATATTGGCCACGGTTGGAATCAGGGTGGGAACTCGCGCACCGGCTGGGCGTAGAATCACAATGATAAATTTGTGTAATTCCAAAATGTGCATCTCAGAAATAGTCTGTGTTTATTGGTGTTAATCCTGTAAAACGCGGTTTGAGTCGAAAAACGCAATTGATTTAAACTGCAGAATTTTTTTTTTAAGTTTAACATAGATTGACCCCTTTTCTCTGTATGGCGATCAACAGGTAAATTCTTTGAACACTAAGCTTGACGCGGAATTTTCCGTTTGCCCGATTTTACGGATCTAGCCTAAAAACTCGTGAACTCCGAAAAAATCTTGAATCGCCCATGACTTTCAGTGAGCAAGGGTCCTGTTTCATACAACTAGAGAGAGTCTTTCTTCGAAAAATTAGTAGAGAGAGGCTAAGCAATGAATTATTGATAAACATTGCCGGTGCTCTTTTGACGATAGCAAATAAACTGGATCACGATCAATTCTTTGCCGACATGAAGTTAGAAGCGTTTCTTACTTGGCATACAAAAGGACAACAACTCTCATCGAAAACTTTTCCATCCACGAAGCCTAGTGCAGCGATGCTAAGCTTGAGATTTGAGGTCTATGTTTTCAAATTTCGCTAAGATTTTTCATTTACAAGGTAAGCATGGATACAATTAAACAACCCAGTTCTACAATGAAACTTGCGGGTGGGGTTTTTGTCCAAAAATAGAGTTATAGTTTACCCTCATGCGGTGAAAACCAGAAGCTAACGGGATACTAGGTTTTTGAGATCAATTCCCGACCATATTTCGACATTTTAGCACAAAATTAAATTTGGGTTTTTGATTTCTCGTGTCACAGGTATGTTTGCTCTTATCGAGGATTTAAATTATTGATTTTTAATTGGGGTTTTAAATTGAAGTATCTTTTTTTTTCTCTGGCATGCATATCATTACTTTCATGTTTTTCAAGGCAACACTATCACAGACTTAGATATTTAACCATTCGCCTCTGGTAGGTAAAATTGTTTTAATGAAATGAAGAGCACATCTAAAGCTACCGGCTTGGGCTGTTTTGAGAGCTGTGTCCATTAGCTAGAGGATTCAGAGTTGTTTCATTTCTTAAGTTCTCATTCCGCGTATACGCCTTAATTATTAAATAAAATCTTTGGGATTCAAAGAGGACACAGTTTTATATCACTGACAGCTTCTATTATAAATTCAGGATTTAATATTTCGTAGTAGTCATGATCTGCAGAGTGAAATAATTGGAGATCAATGAGAAAAACAAACCTAATGACATACCGTAGTTTACTTTCACATTTCTTTAAGTCTCGGTGATGAGTGAGAAAAAAATGTTTCCTAACACTTTCTGCCACAATTTAAGTGTCCAGTGGATCACTATAATATTCTTTCAGTTTTTCCCTACATTCTTTATCTCTCTTTCTCAGACTCCAAGATGCGCACACCGTTAATATGTTTTCTGCTCCTCGTTTGTCTGTTGGTGATGGAAGCAAAATCCATATCAGTTAAAAAAGGTGACGCAATGAAATGTAGTTTCGATTTTTATACTCCTAAACGAATCCCAAGCATTTGTATTTCACTACTGAGTTAGGACCCAAGAATGATTTGTTTTTGTGTTTTTTTTTTGTTGTTGTTGGAAGAACACAAAACCGACGCCAAGGAACTTGAAGAAGCATTGAAAGATTTGAGAGAGTCAGGTAAGGCAAGGCTACTTTACAAATTTACTACACAATATGTGACTCATTTCATTTGCTGTACATTGACTCAAGAGTATATGAACTTCTTAATTACAAGGAGGGCTGGGAGACCCAAAATCGTGAAAGTCATACCAACTATGTTGCATGTGAAACTACACATGATCTATGGAGGATCAAACACGAGAATAAATAATTGATTGTGGCCTCACTCGAAGGCGAGCAACTCCTTATAAGGTAGATGTTCTTTTGGGGATAATAAGAATTGCACCCTGCACTGACTGCTTCAATATTTTAGTACAGAACATTTAGGGGCTACACGAAGTGTCCACGTGAGCAAAATGTGTGACGCTTGATTGGCTGGCTCTACATCCTCTTGGTAAAACGGGGATGATCTAAAAATATCTTGGAATGAATAATCACGAGGAAAAGGTGTTTATGGAGATAGAGCCTCTTAGATTGCAATTTCTATTGCACGATCTCACGTGTTCTATTTGATTTTATCCATTTAGAACTAAACCTCCATAGGGGTCGTGCAAAAGAAAATTATCAGGAGCAATTGAAAGCGCTTACTGAGGAAGGTATGTTCATCAGATAATAAATTATATCCAAAGAAATGACATAGAGGGTCCAGTTTTATATAACGTAAAGGTTAATTTTCATTCAGTATAGTTAGAGTTCTTATGATATACATGGAAGATCAATAAGCCTCAGGCAAGGTACAACATATCTTGTCTAGGTGTAGCATATATCTGTTTTAAACGGTCTTCGAAAAACTTTTTTAGGGAAATCCAAAGATCTAAATGATGGGTAGATAATTTGACTCAAGCTCACAAGCATTTGTTAAATTTTGTCGCAGAATCTGACGCCCAAAGTGGAAATGGTGAGCTCAGACCCGAGGATTATTAGCCAGCGACTATGAACCGAGATTGGAGAATGTACAAATATATAACAAAAGAGATTTTAGTTACTCGTCAAATATACTTTTTTCTTCAATTTTTCTTTTATCCTCTTTTTTTTTTTCAACAAACGCCGCCCCGTACACGACATGACGGATTACTTATATTTCTATACACCGGAAGTCCGGCTCAATATTTCTAATGGAAAGTGAAGTACTTCATCAGCAAGCCCCTTTGCTAGTTCAAGTTTGGTACTAAGAATGAAACTCTGTTGGCCAAGAGTCTCAGGGATGCTATACTTCTTGGTCATATTTTCTTATTTATGCATCTCTCTTAGATTCAAATATTGAACGTGAAAGTAATACAACTCAGCATAGCTCAATATCATTCATCATCGTTATTGTTTTCTTCTCATAAGCGATCTTGCAGCCGTCTCGGGCATATTTTGAAGCTAAAGCCCAGCAAGTAGATTGATTGATTTTATCGTACTTTTTTTGCATAGCTGTCTCAATAAAGCTTATTCAGGGTAGAAATTCATTATTTGTGTCACATGGAGGTGGGAGAAAGGTTTACTCTAAGCTAAGTGCTGCACCCTCCAGCAGAATCTTCCGCTGGTCTGTTTCAGACCCGACATATTCCATGTACTTTCATGACCTTCATTTCTTTTCTCTTGCTTGAATTTTAACTTGCAATGAGTGATCATTATAAGCTTAGATTTAAATCCTATACATCCTCAACACCGGAAACTACGAGGTCTCAAGTAGTAGAAGTTATCGATTGGAAGCTAGAAAATCGGAAGTTTAATTTACCCTAGTGTGGGAAGCCGAATATGATACGACGCCAATCATCTGACACCGATTGCTAAAGGCGGCGAGTTTACTTCTTGATATGCAAGACAAAAAAGTGAATTTGTTATATTAACATCGTGGTTTTTTTCTATTTGACCGGGAATTTGTTTGTTGTTTAGTGAGGTCGGTCAACAATCGTTTACAGCAAGGTTTGCCGTAAATGAAAACATCCACTCAATTATTGTGCCTCTAAGATATAACACCATGTGTCCTCACACCACTCCCCTCGTTACCCTGCTCCAAGCCCCCCCGAACTATGTTGGTAATTGAACGATGAACGAGGATCTTAAACGTGGGAGTATGGATCAGTTGCCATGGCTACTCCCATGACTCACCCACCGTAAAGACCCACGGGGAGAGAATGCAAACTTGTAAAATCAAAAGGGCTCTTTAATACCTTCCATTTACCAACCTTCTCAGAAAAAAGGAAAAATATACTTGAACGCAAAATACTCTTTTCATTCTAATAAATGGACCGAGCTGAGAGTTTTTTTTTTTGGGATTCCCGGTCATGTTTGCTTTGTGATGAAAAAATGTAAGACGTCTTCGTCAATAATTCTTAATACGCAAATTTATTCCATAAAAGATAGGTATTAACTTAAAAGTAAAGGCTGCATTCCTGTATCGGGAAGCTGTAAGGATTTGCGGGAAAAGAGGTCTAAAGGGAGATAGTAAGTAGTTTTTTCTCGTTAAAACGAGATCCTGTTAGTCTAGTTAGAATATATTGCTTTAAAACGCTTTCTAATACTTTCTGCTTTGTGGTAAAATCTTAACCGTACTCGGCTAAAACCCTCCTGTTCTCTCAAAGCGTATTTGTTGAATGTAAGTTTATGTCGTATTTTTGAAGGTTACCCTAACCCTTGAAAGTGCTCTGGCCGATCAACCCCATTTTCTCCACTAGTATAACTTTTTTTATATTGTCCGTGGTAAAAAAGAAGAGGAGAATATAGAGAATCCGGAATAAGAAAAAGTTAACGACAGATAATTTCAAAAGAACAGAAAAAAAGAAAAAACATTCATAGTTATGATATACAAGAGAGGTAATAAAGGCGTCTAGATGAGGACTTTGGCAAGATTTCAGTCAATGTTGAAAGAATTGCAGTGTAGTTCGTACATCGAAAACCTTTCCCTTTTAAAAGAGCCCAGTGCTGTGTCTATGTGTTTCATGCTTTAGTATAGATATTTGATGGAATTTTATGGAAAGGTCATGAATTATTACCACAGGAATGCAGTTTATCCAGAAAGCGACCAAACATCTGCAGCCGTTTAAATTTAAATATCCAAGCTTAGATACACAAAGCTGTGTGCTTTTCAGTTTAAAACAATCGTTATTAAAATTTGTCAGAAAGTCAACAATGGTCATCCTAGGTAGACAGACAATACTTCAGGAATTTTTTAATAGTATTTGCTGTGAAAGCAGTGCCTATGCATAAACAAACCTAGATCTCACAAATCTCTCTCGATACTTGGTAAGGTACATGTATTCTAAAGGAAAAACATTCGCTAAGTGTATTCAAGGCCATGCCAGGCCTTTCCCACCATCAATTATTACTTTTTAGTAGCAAAGAAGGAAGAGGGAGGCGTCTTTCAAAGTGCCTTTAAAACTCTTCTAACCTCTCCCCCCCCCTCCCCCCAGAGACAAGCTGAGAGAACAAAGTTGGGAATCATAGTGTACTTAATTCTTACTTGTCACAATAGTGTAGACCACTGACAGGACATAGACATGGTTGTCTGAAATGATATAACAAACATTTTTAGATCACAACTGATGCGATGCGCGTTTAATAAAAAACGTTTTATCAGCAATGCATGGATTGTATGGCTTATAAATTGGTGTTTGGTCTGTCGGTGCCTTTTGAACATTAAAGAAAGTGTTTCAGACAATGAATTCCTTTAGTGGAGCCTAGACATCGATTAACGATGACATTGTATCGTTGGATGAAAGCAGTATCGTGGTCAAAAAAAAAAAATTCGAACAAACGTTATATCAATGACAGTAACTACGACTTGTATTATACCCAAACATAATTTACAAATGGTTCGTGTTCTAATGATGAAGTATTTTTAATAGGTCAAAATATGCAGGTAATTGCCTTTTCCCTACTGCTGCTCTCCATCATCGCTGGTTCAAATGCACGGTTTCAACGTAATTCAAAAAGAGGTGAGATGAATCTGACAAATCTTTCAAGTTCGACTGCGCATGCATTAAAGGTGTTGAACGTCGAAATGCACTAATTTTTCTGCCTGTGCCATTTTAGAAATCAAAGATGAACGAAAAAAAGGGAATACGCTGATTGAGGATTTAGCAGAAGCTGGTAAGTTAAATTAGACAAAATTCGTAACTTGATTCCGTTTCTGCTCAAAGACATGGCTGATAATTCATACTAAATTGGTCACTGTCGGCTCGAGAATTACAAATATTATGAAGGTGTTATTCCAACTTTCTAAGTGAATTATTACGCTGGTAGTACTATAGAAAAAGCGGCCTATTGCTTTTGCAAGAATATTTTTTTCATTTCGCGTGCACTAAGTTTGTCCCCTTCCGAAATCCTTTCTCGCATTAACTGTAAACATGCATGGAAAAGTGTTATATGGCAAAATAACTTAACTCATTTTTAACTGATGTTTTTAATTTTGGTTAAGCTGCATTAAATCAAACGCATTTTATCAATACCTGAATCTTAGTTACAGCATCTAGTCCATTTACTTTACTGAAATATCAGGTATGGATGTTTTGATCAAATCTTTTAAATTTTCTCTCTGACTGTCCTCTGTCATGGCTAAAAATTTAAAGGAAGAAAGAAACTCGAAATGACTCGGTCCTCAAAATCCCAGGCCCTGGTCGTCAAGATATACTGATTAGAGACACTCTCTTTCCGTCTCTCCTTTAAGATCAAAGTCCCCTCTTCTTCTATGTAGTTTAGCTGAGAAAACAGAGGAAAAATAGTAAATTCATAGTGCTCTATTTTATTTCATTTGGGTTATACAGAGAATCCTATCAACTTACGCAGTATCTGCGACGTTAACTATGTGAAAGTCGGATGCTTCAAAGAAGACAGCAACGACAGAGCGCTTTCACAGGAACTTTTCCAAGACCGGACGCCAAACAGCGTGGACTGGACTGACTACAGCACATACCTCAAGAAGTGAATAGTGTACATATTCTGTTATACGTAATCAAGATTTCATATGATTGAGATTGCTTTTAAAAGATCGATGGAAAGAGAGAATATGTTGACTTCCTTGCGCTGTCCAGCGATCTTTTTTAGGAGCGATCTCAGCCATATGAAATGTGACCATATTTTCAATCTATATTCTTTTACAAGAACAGACGCCAAGTTTCATTTACCTTTTTTGTCTTTACACACAGACATTGTCTTTTGATTTGTGATTGAGCAAAATATATTATTTCAAATCAAAATTCGTGTATCCGGAGAAACCAGCCCGCGGCCTACATGAGTGAGCTGATTTCTGTTACAGACACCGTAAGATATGATATAAATTCCAATGACGGCTTATTCCTTACTCTTTGCAAGGGCAAAACACTCGCTACGCTCGGCGATAGTTCTTTCCATGAAGCCGCTCCTAAGTTGTGGAACGATCTTCAGTGTTCTATCACAACTATCGACTATTTAATCAGGTTTGAGAAAGCCACTAAGATTTTTTTGTCCGCAAAAGCTGTTTAATTTGTTGCATGTAATTTTTATGTTTCTACATCTTCTTCGTCAACATTTTTAGTTTTAGCTTAAGAGTCTATGTAGAGTTGAATTTTTAACATTGTAATGCGCAATTGAAAATGTTTATTTTGATAATTGCGCAATGTAAGTCAATAAATTATCATTATTATTAACCAAGAAATTATCATTATTCTCTAAAATGGATAAATAAAAAACCTTTTAAACACAATTTGACTAGGAACAGATAAATTTTTATTGAATTTTTTTCCGGATCGTTTTTCGAGTAGCTTGTGAAAATAATTCATTAGCTGTGTACAGCCGCCCCAAAAGAAAGTCGATTTTCTTTTGGAGGGTAGGGACGGCTGTACACAGGCTAAGAGATCATGAGTTCACTCTTTATATGCTTTCATAAATCGATCTGTCCACTTCATAAAGTTGTAGGTCTTGAAATGACGAAAAATTACTACGTGTTTATCATTGTCTCTTACAGTCTGGCATGCCGTTGCGCCAAAATCAGTGCCCAGAAAGGTTTTACTTACTTTGGTCTCCAAGACTACGGACGGTGCTTCAGTGATCCACATGCCTCAACAGGTTACAGCAAGAACGGAGGCTCAAACGATTGCTCTAATCAACACTACCAATCGTGTGATGACAATGCTTACGGGGAGTGTGTAGGCAAAAGCAAACAAGTGAATTACATATACCAAATCAGTGTCGATGGTATGTAAGATGCTCATACATAGTCTATCTAAGGTGGATAATAACGGTGTCCTTTCCCTTTTTAGCCGGGATAGAGCTTTTGTTACTTAAGAGATAGCTTTACTGTTACAGAATTCTAAGCTTAGTAAAACCCTATAGGACCGATTATTTACACGAGGTCTAACCCAAACCACGGTTTTACGCAATCAGCGGTCTCAGGTTTTTCTCTATAAGAAGGTTGGTTTAATTAAATAGACGCCTTTCACTGTTAGCTCTTAGCCCTTAATAGGCTGTTCCCAAAGATAAATTTTAAATTAAAAGATTCAGCTAGATTGAGGATTGTTTAGGACGCGTTTTTCTTAAACAATGGCTAAACTTTTTTAAATAATCAGACCATCAGTGTATAAAATTCCATGTACTGGGAGTAAAATTGCAAATGACGTTACATCCGAAGGAGGTATGTCTCGAGACCTGTTCCAGATCTCTCAGAAATGAACAAGGCTTTTGAATTTTCTTTTATAATGGAATTTTCTTTTATATTGGAAGAACTTAAGGCGTTTTCTTTCGTTCTTTTTATATGGAAGAAATATACAAATTAACATCTGAACAGATGATCATCAACAAACAACACAATTCAGGCAGGCAAAGTAAACCTTTTGAATTACAATAGCATTGTCTATATTTAGTTTTGTGTGTAGCAACACTAGCAGTGTTTAAGAATTTTTCTCACTCTACTTTACAGATGGCAGTGGTAATGGTGGGATTGACTATGGCAACGCATACGATCAAGTCGACCTTAAAGACTTGAATACCTACAATTAATCAAATCCAGATGTAATATAGGTCCTCTCAATTGTTCCCTTCTTTATGTTCTAAGTTAGGCACCGAGCTATTTTCGTATTGAGATTTTCTTTCTTTTCATTTCAATGGGTGTTGAAAAGCGCTTTTTTGGATCATTGTTTGTTGCCTAAGAAGTACAGGGGTGCATAAATAAAAAATAAAATAAAATTATAATGATACTCGTTATGTTTATTGCTAATGAAGAGTAAGTAATTCTATTATTAAACAAGAATATCGTCTTAGTTAGTGCCGATCATCCCAGTATGTGGACAAGTTTCAAGTTTCGTCCCCTTGATAAGCTGTTTGAGATCGAATAATTTGGATATATCAACAAAGTTGAAATGGTAAATTGGCCACCGTAACGATTACAAAAGCTGACGTTTAGAGCGTTAACCCTTCCATTCGTTCCGACGAAGGGTTAACGCTCGAAACGTCAGCTTTTGTAATCGTTACGGTGGCCAATTTACCATTTCAACTTTGTTGATATATTCAAATTATTTCGTTACTCCCACCGACGTAGCCCCAAACAGTTTCTTTCGAAACTATCAGCCTTTATTATCTGTTTGAGATCAAAGTTGAAGGGAGGGTCAGGGAAATTGAGCTCAGCCGACGGCCTCGTCCAATTTTGGCTGTTCTCAGATATTTTTTATCCATTTATTTTCAAATTGGCAGTATGTAGTCCCATTGCAGATACGATTTTTTTATATTTTTTAATTGCGTTGGCACAGTAAACTTAGTAACAAAGAATTCTTTCGTTACACCATACTTAAAAGTATTGCAAACTGAAAACGTGTTTGTGTTATCGTTTTAGTATTTTGATAATCTGAGGAGGATTACTTGTTTAATGAAAGAGACAATACACCTGATCTGAGCTAAGTGAAACGACGAAATTTCCATGCATCCTTTAAAAGTTTCCAAGTTGCCGTTAGCATTTACGTATATAACCAGCCGATCTCTAAGGTGCACTGGAAAGCTGTTCTATTCGAAATTGAAAGTCACAAGTAGGTGGTTTTTTTTTGGCAACTCATGGTAAAACGATACCAGCATTTGAAAGAGACAACTTGAGGTGTGCTCTTAAAGTCGTTTTCTATTTGCCTTTCAAAAATTGAAAGGTGCCCTATCCCTACATACATTTTTCTGTCAACTTCTCACCAATAATGCTTGCATTTTTGCTGGATAGTTAGTAAGTATACCTTCTTTTTGGTCTCAGTGAGGTTGACAAAGCAATATGTTTTTCTTAGTTTTTATTAACCAAGCGGGAGATCTGTATGGGAGAATCTTGACCGAGGTCGCCAGTACAGACCGAACGTAGTAAGGTCTGTACCAGCGACCGAGGTCAAGACTCTCCCCTACAGACCGACCTAGCTCGGTTAATAAGGTGTTTATTATATGGCTGTGTCTTATATGCCAATTTTTAATATTCTTTGTACCTTTTTTTTTTAGACCGGTCTAGATGGGAAAATCTAGACCGCTTTCAATATCGATTTCAGCCAATCAAATTCGTGAATTCGGTAGTTCCCAGTCCTTGTGAGACACAGCCATATAATAAATGTGGGTATTACTCTAGATAATGATAATCAATCTGTGTAGCCGCTTCCTAATATATAGTAAGACAATAAGCTTAGTCTTTCCTAGTCTCCCTCGCAGCCGTTTTCTTTGGATGTCACGCAACGCTCCCCCAAAAGAACGGCTGCTGACAACCGAACTACATTCCTTTCTCCGAATTGGCCAATCACAGCTCGGGTTCCATTTTCAGGAACCTTTTCGCGCCAGACTCACCTTTTGAGACTCGTCCTATCAGATATCGTTTTCTATCACGATCCTCGTGTGGAAAACACAAGACAAATGGCGGTGCTTGAGAGAGCTTTTCGCAAAGCGTCGTCAAAGTTCAAAATTTTCGAGCTTAAAGCTCACCAGAAGCTTGCAATTAAAAACGTTTTAGTCGAGAAAGAAGATGTTTTTGTTAAGTTGCGTACAGGATCCGGGAAATCGTTAATATATCAAGCACTCCCGCTCGTGTTTGACCATGTTACCGATGAAAGTGGTCATATTATTGTTATTGTTGTTGCGTTGTACCAACGTGCGGAAACACTCGATAATTCGGGCCGATTTCCTGTACCGGTGATAAGAAGCCACGAACATAACTAATCGGGTTCGCTCCAGCTAGCAGCGGACTGGCAAATGAAGAAGTACAAGTAGTGTAGGAGACGTTGGCCGACCTAAATTGCAGTGTTCTCGAAGCTTCGCCCGGTTTGTTGACGGCAAGCACGCGCTTTTTTCCTCCTGATCTCCATCTGTAGGTCGAAGCAAGCGTTTAGCCCTTGGCCTAGATTGAAAGGCGTCTTGTATTTCCTTTTGATTATTGATGTAATTTACTGTTTCTTATATATTCTGACTTTTATAATCTGTAGTAACCTCTTGAAATAGTGCGAATAAAGAGTTTCAGTTCAGTTTTTAGCTTCT